AATAGCATAACTGCTGAGACTCCAATTGTAAAATAACAGTAGGAATAAACTATCTCCAGGCTGATTTTGTACATGCTACTAGCAGAATGGTGACTCAGCTGCTGAGACTTCATACCTGGTGCCTTTACATTTAATATGAAGTCTCTAACCATTTTCACACAATTTAATGGAATTTCATTTCTCATACCCATAAAGGGTGGTTGAATCAACACTGTTTGCTTGACAGCTGGGGCAGGTGAGCAGAAAGAAAGGGCACAAGCTGTTACTGAGGCTCAAGCAGCAGCTCACGGAGCTTAAAGCAATGCCAGTCACAGGCTCCTCACCAGCACTTGCATGGTAGCTGAATGCACATATGACATTAATCTGGCTAAACTGCAATGGAATACGCATTAGCTCTTTCAAGCCATGCATGTGGGCAGTGAAGAAGAGAACAAATAGAAGGAGGGGGAGTCAGAAATGTCAGCTATCTCTATATTGAAGTATGGTCACAAGTATAGGAACAAAAGGAGAACATTTCCAGAGTGAGCATTCAGTCTTTCAAGACTTCCTACATCTTCAAGTGACTGTTATACCCCCAGCAGAAGGCTGGACCTCCTCTTAAAAATATTAACAGCTTATGTTCTGCAGTTTCAATCTGCTTTTTTGGGGAAAATACCTTGTTTCCATCGACTTTCCTCAATCCACCAGGAACCCAAACCAGATCACTGAGCCTCTGCTATGTTTAACCAAAACACATCTTTCTTGTGAGTTGTTGGTGTGGTTTTGGCCCACAGTACTCCCAGGGATCTTGACACTGCATAAGGTTTCGAGAGTCTCCACACAAGAAAGACTGTACCTGGAGCCCCAGCAGCCTTCCTGGTAAGCAAGGTGTTTCATCCATGACCTGTATTCCCGTTACCCAAGTTTTACCCCTCCTTGGTGTCTCCTGTGTCTTTAATTTGCAATGAGTGCACTGGCACAGTGCAGCATTATACTCTCTGTTGTCCTGATGCTTCATCACCCCTAGACGGAGCTCTAAGTCACTTCTTACGCCAAGACAGTGCGAGGTTTCTTACTATTTTATCGAGTTCTAACTCCTCTTGAGAAAGCTTTTAACATCTGCCTTAAATATGCTCCAGTTCCTTGTAGGTACAGAGCATACCTGCTCACCTGCATTTAAGTTTGGAAAATAAATGCTAGCTTGCTTCCC